AAGTATAATCCCTTTTTCTCCAAGTTAATGAGTCATGTAGAAATCAAGACTTTGATGGTATTAACAATTATTGGATGATATTAACAATTATTGGATCAGAGTTCCAACCATGTTAGCTACAAAGAATTTAAGCCCTCCCTGATCCTAAACTTGATCTCTATGGCTCTCCTTCACCATTTCTACTGCTGTCAGGAGGTGGATATTTAAGGAGAACTTTTTTCTTGGTGATTACAGGTCCTCCTTAGACTGCATAAAATGGATGGGCGTGGTCTGTTCTGGGGTCCCTCTAAATAAGAGTGTATTAAGAGTTCCAGGGGACGTGGTCACAGAGAACCACAAGACCACCACCAATACTGTATCTGGAAATTTTCCTCTTCTGTGATCTGAGGCTCAAGGCCAGAAGAAGCATGAGGTGGCTTTCGGGGTCCTCTTTCTGATGCTCTATACTCTTGGCTGGAGGTAGCCTAAGGATCTGAGGTCTGGGACCCCGACCTGCTGAGGTACTCTAATCCACTGTGCCCCAAGTAGCAAATGCTCTGAGGCAAACAAGATCCTGGTTGACTTGACTTGCTAACTTAGAAGAGTGGCCTTTAACATGGAGTATATGAAGGACAGTCCCTCAGTTTGGGTACTTGGAGCAATTGATGATCTTAAGTTCATAGGCTTCCTGTATTCTCGACTTATAAATACTCCTGTTCGAGTAAAGCGTCATGCTAGAAACTTGATATTATAGTCCACGCAGGGATTTTCTGAGTTCACTTACAAGGCAGATTGCAGTGATGGAAGTTAGACACTTTTGAACTAATGATTCTCTTCTTCTATGCCCTGGTTTTGTTAAAGTATATATCTGAGGGACAGTTTCATGAAAGCAAGGCAAAAATAATATTAGTAAGAAATGTTGACTGTCAAAAATGGCCCCTCCTACAATACATTTGAATATAAGCAGTTCTTCATATTTATCCCTGGGATCCATCATTAGCTGACAAGAAATTTTAAATAGCAAAGCAGTATAGGCTATTGTCACTAATTCTTTTAAATGCAACGAGAATGTTTTCTTAGACTATCAAAAATTTCAAAATATCCTAGATATAAGTTCATGAAATCTTTCCACTTGGCACTTGTTAGTCAATGATGTAATTAAAATAATTTTTTTCAGCTACTGCTTGAAATGTTTATTATAATGCAGTAAAATCCTCATCTTGTTTCATCTCTCAATGTTCTATCTACTATTAATAAAAATAATTCCTATGTATAGACCAATTACCTTGACTGCATCCAATTCTTTTTCATTAAATGTAAAAGGAAACATTAAAGATTGATTCATCTCATCAAAAACTGCAGTGTTCATAGAATTTAACTTTTATGCTGAATAATCATCAAAATTTGTAGTATATATGTTTTAAATAGTAGTATCGTAAGAGTAATCGTAAGAGTACGCCTAGAAATTGCCTATAAAAAATCCATTTTTGGGACATAGGTCTTCAAAAGTTAAAGTTGCTTTTGTGGAATAAAGACTTTTATTCGCAAAGGTCGTTTATGCTCATTTTTCATTGTGACTAACAATATGAAACTAACACCTGTCATTTTAGAGTGTGTACACATTTCC